ATTATTATTATTATTATTATTATTATTATTATTATTATTAAATTCTATGCTACAGTATTTTGCACTGGACCAAGAGTTAAAGAGCTTTGGAAAACACTGATGGACTGACTGGACTGATGTTTTTCAAAATGTATTTCAACATTTTGTTTTATTATTACAAATTATGGAATATAACTGCAGTGGATCCCTGACTTAATATTCTAGTGAAAAAAAACAAATTGTCATTTTTGTGACATCGGTATCAGGTGTGGCACCAGTGGAATAAAAAAAAATATTTTTTACCCTCTAGTCAATGAGCAGCCCTTCCAGAACAGGTGTCAATCACAAGGTGAGCACTATTCCAGGGATCAGCTCTGCGTCCACCTGCACTGTACCTGTAAAAGAGAAATGAGCAGACTTGTTTTTTCTCTGTTGGCTCTTAACTTTAAAGGACGTGTTTTAATTGACAGTCCCTTCTCGTGATGCCTTCCCTGTCCTGTAGCTGTGTTCTGGTCCTACTCCTGCTGTCGCATTTGGTAATTCAACATTTCAAAGTATGAAAGAACGACAAAAAAAGAAAGGAGCATGGACGTGCGATGTGGGCGAGTATGAGTCAGGCCATTTTCTGAGGCCCACTGAGAAAGCCTTTTGCTAGCAAATCTTCATTAAAGGAGATAATTTACTTCTTCCGGTGAACGCGAAGAACGTCTTTTATTTAAAAACGTGTTTAAAAATTTAAGTCTATGCCATTCAGTTGGGAACTACAAGTTTCATCTCTCTGTGGACAATGGGGAGGTTCCTCTAAGCCATCAACTCACTAAGGCATTCAGCTTGTGATTTGCTATAAGCTCCCCAATGACAAAAATATGCTTAAAGCCCAGTGGAATGGCATGTCCCTCACTGATGTCACCACCACAAGTCTGCAGGCAACTGCAAAGCCATTTAGCTCCCAGTGTTTCACCTAGAGCTAAGACACCCCTGGCCAACTCATTCTCAATGCTCCCACTCGTTACATTGGTTTAATTCTGCACTGCTGCTTGAGGCAAACTGCTCCTAACCACAGCTGGTGAGTCAGTAAGAAGATAACGGGTGTATGAAAAGTTACAAACCTGAGGAGATTGTTTACCCCATCTTTCCTGTTTGGCAGTGAGATGTTAACTCATCTAAGCATCTCATTAGTTCCAACAACATGCCTGGGTAAAGTGGTCCTTACTCCCACAACCCTTTGGATCAAGAAATGTCTCCCTATTTTTTATTTGAAATTCTCGTCCACATAGTTTCCATATGTGTCCTCTGGTTTTCGTTTCACTATTCATTCTGAAGTAGTCCACTGGACTTGAGGATTTTTAATATTTGTATCAGGTCCCCTCATAGTTATCGCTATTCCAGAGTAAAATATCTCATTTCCTTCACACTGTCAGTGCAGAACTTTTCCTTAAGGTCTGGAATCTATGTGGTTGGTCTTTGGATGAATTCCAGAGCAGCAATATTTTTTCTATTATGCGGTGACCAGAATTGTACACAATTTTCTAAATTAGGCTTTGCCAGTGTGTTACACTATTTTAAAATAACATCCTTTCATTTAACTTTGCTTTTAACTATACATCCCATTTTTAATTGATTCCCCACATTGTCTTAAAGATGTCAATGATGTGTCAACATAAACACCTAAATCTTATTTGTACATAGCCTCTTCTAGCTCAGCGTTTCCCCTTTTGTACCTACATAGCTTACATTTTTACTACCTGCATGAACTCATAACATCTGGGTCATTGATCTCAGCCTGTGCTTCTAGCTTTTACCAGCTGAGCCACTCGAGAGACTCAAAGCAGACTTTTATAATGCTGTGCTCAGTGAACAATGCCAAAAAAAACTAATTCAATATTTAATAAAAACATACATCTATTAAGAAACAACAATAGAAAGACACTAACAGTGCTCACAATAGGAAAGCTATTTTTCTATTAATTAACTGCACTGAACAGAATTAGGAACCTTCACAGCAGGAAGAGGTTAGAAAGGGGGAGCTGCATCCGTGCTGGAGCTCTAAAGAAACTAGTAGAATGTAATTCAAACCCGACAAATGAAAAGTCAAAAGCAAGATCACAACATTTCATGACAGCCTTCAGACAAGAAGAATGGAATCAACCTTTAAAGATTATCCATTCCATCATATAGAAGGCTGTGGTGTATAAACTTCCATTTAAGTCATGCTATTTAAAATGCTTCTTCCTTTTTAGATTTAAGTTTTTTTTCTGCCGTTACAGATTGGAGCATGTATGCTAGGATAACAATTATGAAGACTAGAGGATATGCTTCAAAGTTTGATTGCTGTACTTGGAAAACTAGGAAGAAGATTTTCCCCATTAGTGACATTGACTTGACTAACAAATTAATCCGTATGTAGTCCTCTTATTGGTATGCACACTCAAAAGATTTTTATGATCGTCTTGGAACATAATGGTGATGCAAATGGGATTTTTGAATAACGATAATATGTTACTGGTGTGCCCTACTTCTGAATATTTGAACTTCAAAACCAGACTTTTTTTTCTGACAAGAGACTTAATGTTGTTCCAAATCAATCACAAAACCCGCTTGATGAAATTACCTTTTCATTTTACTGTTGACAAATATGCGTATTAGACAACATTACAGATAAAGAAAGGGATATCAAGCTGTTATCATTAATGTTAAGAAATTAATTCTCAATGAAGTGGTGGTATAAATCAACCAATGTATAAGAATATTTCTTCTTTCATCAAAATTCTATCACTGAAAGAGCAAAGACAAATACTAACTATAGTATAGTAACAACTGGTTGGAAGGGAAGAATAGCAGTTATATGGGGCTGCCACCATGATGATTTTAGAGCACTTACACCAGAAATAAAAAACATTTCTGGAAGTAAATGACACTAAAATGTATCTGTTCCAGTAAGAAGTTAGAAGTTTTTCCTGTCATAAGGTTTGATTAGGAGTTGAGCTTTTGTTTGGTCCTACCTTCCTCAACACCATATACTGTATACTTCTACTCCTTCTTATTATCTTAGTTGTGAGATTCATAGATGTAACACACCCTCACAACAGCTAAATATATTAAACATGCAGTTATAGAGAAATATAACTATTGTTACAGCACAATAAAAGCTCAGTTGGGATCATGAAAAAAAATCTTATGATTCTTGATACTAAGACACATCAATATGCAGTTCTGATCAAGTGTTCTTGAAATCACAAGGAGAAATGGAGCTTTGCCAAGTTATCCTGAACAGCGTTTGCCTAAATCAAGCTGTGAACTTGAGTACATGTATATTTACTCTTATTTAGAAACAGACTTTGAAATTGATACAAAAGTCCTCTTGTCGAAAATCCATTTGTGTCAAACTTGAATTTCCCTGGAACATTTTGTGACTCCAGAGACATGTAAACATATAACCAAACTGTGTGTGGTTATGCTGTCTTTTGTTTTTATCAAAAGGGCAAAATATTGGAAAAGGGTGTTTCACATCAGTTGAGTTTCTTCAGGTAGCAGAGTTTATAAGACTTCCTGCAGCTGTTAGACTAACATACAGTATTTTATAACATTGCTTGTGACACAAGCAGTGACTGGCCTTTAAAATAAAAGCAGCATAATGTTATTAGTTTGTGCAAAACTCTGTCTTTTGAACTTGAACTTGAATTTTAAGTTGACCGTGAACTTTTAATGAATGGGTGAAGAATGAAAATTTCTAATGAAGTGCTGTATTTTTTAAAAATGTTGAAAGCACAGGAAAATGCAGTCTCTATTTCAGCAACCTTCCATCAATACTGTGAAATGCAAAGCAATACAGCTTTTTCTATCATGATGCATATCTGTATTGTATATTAGAAATAGATACAGCTGAAACAAGAAATTATCTTTTAACAGCTACATGTTCAGTGCTGTACTAAATCACTCCATGTTTTGTGAAAGGATTTAAGGATAAAGTTTGCTGAGCTGCAGTGAGTTCATGGTCAAACCACAAAACAATGCAAATCCAGTGTAAGTCAGGATGAAATACTTATTGGTGTTTGGAAGGGATGGAGCCAGAGATATGTTCTTGATTTTTTTCTTTCTTTCACTACCTTGATAATACAAAACCCCTTCACGGCTCAGCAATGCAAAGACAGAAAACATCTAAAAAAACTAAATCTCTCACTGAGAGCAAGATACGTCTTAGCAAGACGTTAACATACAAAATATGAAAAACATGTTGCATCATCATGTTATTTTCATATTCAGACTAACACAGACCCTTTCAAGATTTAACTCCTAAAATACGCAAAACCATAAGAAAGGTGACAAATGGGGAGAGGTCAATGGGTCCATTATGCTGGGTTGGTAGCTAATAGCTTAATGATTAAAGAATCACATCAGGCCACTTATTAAAGGATGTTAACGTTTGATTGGGAGAGACCTGATCAGAATATTCCACCCTTCTATCTAACCATCTCTTCCAATTCAGGGTCACTGGGGAGCTTGAGCCTGTCCTGGCTAGCAATGGGCGCAAGGCAGGCTACACCCTGGCTGGGATGCCAGTCTGCTGCTGGGCACACACAGACACAAGCACGCACACACTCACACCAGGACAAATTTTCCCTTGAGCCATTTAATCTACCAGGATGTCTTTGGTCTGTGGGATGAAGCCAGAGCATCTGGAGGAAATCTACAGAAACCCAGGGAGAACATACAAACCACATGCAGAAAGTTGAACCCGGAGTCCCAGAGCTGTGAGGCACCAATGCTGACCACTGTGCCACTATGTCTCCCTAATCAGAAATTTCTCGCATAAAATTCTAAGATATTTCACACCTGTATTTAAACTTTAATACTCTACACTTTACACTGCTATTAAAGAATCTTTAACAAAAAAGGAGTTGCACTTTCTACAAATTATGCTAATTAACAGTTATCTCAAAGCCTCCACTGGTGTATTATGCTACGATAACTTGGCTGTTATTTATAAGGGTTTATCTAGGGTTTATCTAGGTTAAAAACAATCAAGCTTGTCATTTGGCAATTTTTAATTCACGTCGATCAGAATCGTCACATGCTCATGACCTCTCCAATTGACTCTTTGTCATTGACATAATTTGTTGTTACTCTGTACACATCTATGATGTTCAAAATCTTTAAAAGTCTCAAGGTCTTTTTTTAACAAAATCCAGATCTGTGAAAGTTACCTCTTAACAAAATGACTATGATTTAAGCAGAGAACCACTGAGTGAAAAGGGTTGAATAGAATGGGCATAAGGTTTTTGTACAGTAGTGTATATCCCGATATGTGGCCAGTGTTGAAAAGGATGCACTCATGCAAAAGACACCCTCTTGCATATCTTATTAATAAAAAAATGTAGACAAGGAAACATGTACT